ATCACCAAAAAAATTCCAAAGATGAAAAGGACGAGGTTCTCAGATTCATAGAACATAGAACAGTACAGTACAGGCCCTTCGGCCCACAATGTTGTGCCGAACTTTTACCCTAAACCTAAGATCTATCTAACCCCCACCCCTACCTTATACTATCATCCATATGCCTATCTAATAGCCGCTTAAGTGCCCCTAATGAGGCCGACTCCACTACCTTCTCTGGCAATGTATTCCACGCCCCTACCACTCTCTGAGTAAAGAACCTACCTCTGATGTCTCCCCTATATCTACCTCCACTCACTTTAAAACTGTGCCCCCTTGTAATAGCTATCTCCACCCTAGGAATAAGTCTCTGGCTGTCCACTCTATCTATACCTCTGATCATTTTGTACACCTCTATCAAGTCACTTCTCATCCTTTGTCATTCTAAAGAGAAAAGCCCTAGCTCTCTCAACCTTTCCTCGTAAGACCTTCCCTCCATTCCAGGCAACATCCTGGTAAATCTCCTCTGCACCTTTTCCAATGCTTCCACATCTTTCCTGTAATGAGGTGACCAGAACTGGACACAATACTCCAGATGTGGCCAAATCAGGTTTTGTATAGCTGGAGCATAACTTCACGGCTCTTGAACTCAATCCCTCTATTAATGAAAGCTATACACCTTCTTAACAACTCTATCCACCTGAGTGGCAGCTTTCAGGGAACTGTGGACATGAACCCCAAGATCCCTCTGCTCCTCCTCACTGCCAAGAATCTTTCAGTTAACCCTGTATTCTGTTTTCAAGTTTGTCCTTCCAAAATGAATCAACTCACAATTTTCAGGGTTAAACTCCATCTGCCACTTCTCAGCCCAGCTCTGCATCCTATCAATGCCCGTTTGTAACCTAGGACAGCCCTCCGCACTATCCACAACTTGACCCACCTTCGTATCATCCGTGAACTTACTAATCCACCCTTCCACTCCTTCATCCAAATCATTTACAAAAATCACAAATAGAAGAGGAACCAGAATAGATCCTTGTGGTACACCACTCGTAACTGAGCACCATGTTTAATATTTTCCATCCACTACCACCCTTTGTCTTCTAAGGGTCAGCTAATTCTGAATTCAATCTGCCACATTTCCCCCTATCCCATGCCTCTTTACTTTCTGCATGAGACTACCATGGGAACCTTATCAAACGCCTTACTTAAATCCATGTATACCACATCCACTGTTCTACCTTCATCCACGTGTTTGGTCACCTCTTCAAACAATTGAATAAGGTTTGTGAGGCATGATCTACCTCTCACAAATTCAGCGTCTGGTCAGGCATTTGTTAAGCCATACACTTTTAGCACCTGTCTGGTCTTTACTTAGTGGATGCTACTGGGTTTTGTGAAGCTTTATTCAAAGAATGTGGACATACTCTTCCGAGACGATATTGTGTCTGGTATAGGAACTTACTGGGATGAAGGGAGGAAACAAAACATTAGAAGGGATGTTTTACATAGCTTTTCTATGTAATATGGTTTCTAAGAAAACAGTTTAAAAACACAATTTTAAAAAGAATGAAATACTCATAAAATATCATGTTGAAGTGGAAAAACTACTCATCATTATGAATAGCTTGAATTTACGGTGGTATTGGTTCCAAAATTTAGAAATGTCCAGTTTCCTTGCAGTATGATTTCTGAATGATATCCTCTTAGCCAATCTTGTCCATCATGTTCATACAGTTAAAAGATGTGTTTTTTTTCAATTTTTCAAAGAATCTATTCACTAACGCCTCTCGTAAGTTTACCCAACGACATTCATTTTTGATTGTCCACCCTTATAATTCTTCTATTGATATTCTTCACCATGCTGTTTCACCTAACCTCAAACAGTGCTTTCTGCATTGCTATCACATTCTCTAAAAGGCAGAGAGAAAGAACTAGGGCCTGGATCTTCCCATTCTCAGACTGTGGCCCTGGGAGTTTTATAGAACAAAGAGATCATGAGGTACAGGTTCATAGCTCCTTGAAACAGAAGTCACAGGTAGGCAGGGTGATGAAGAAGGCTTTTAGCATGCTTGCTTTCATCAGTCAGGGCATTGAGTATAGGAGTTGGGACATCTCGTTGCAGCTGTACAAAACATTGGCGAGACTACATTTGGAGTACTGCATGCAATTCTGGTCGCCCTACTATAGAAAGGATATTATTAAACTAGTAAAGTGAAGAAAAGATTTACTAGGATGCAACCTGGACTAGAAGGTCTGAGTTATAAGGAGAGTTTGGATAGGCTGGAATGTTTTTCCCTGGAGCGTAGGAGACTGAAGGGCAACCTTATAGAAACCTATAAAGTCATGAAAGGCATTGATAAGATAGATAGCCAACAGCTTTTCCCCATGGTAGGGGAGTCTAAAACTAGAGGGCATACATTTAAGGTGAGAGGGGAGAGATACAAAAGGGTCCACAAAGGCAATTTTTTCACACAGATGGTGGTGATTGTCTCAAATGGGCTGCCATAGATGGTAAATTTTGTCATTTAAGAAACATTTAGAGAGGGTACATGGATGGGATAAGTATGTAGGGACATGGATCAAACGCAGAAAAATGGGACTAGTTTAATTGTGAAAACTGGGCGACATGGGCAAGTTGGGCCAAAAGGCCTGTTTCCATGCTGTAGACCGATATGACTCTAAATCCAAAAGTGGGAGAGTTTAGAGGTAGGAAATCCATGTCCTATGAAAATGGGAAAGCCCATTTGATCTTCTGGCAATTAGGCAGCTGATTGGTTGGTTGCCACTGGTTGGTTGCTACATGAATTAAGACACAGGGTGAGGAAATCCCAGCTGGCCAATCAGGTGTCAGGCAGAGGCTGTAGCTCCTGCTAGCACCAGATTACCAGACACCTAGAATGGCGGATCACAGCCAATAAAATTCAGTGGTAAATGGAAAGAGGACCTTTTGGCCTTGGGAAAGAGGGCTGGTTGGAAGCAAAGCCTCTGCCCTTTTGTAAGAATGATAAGGATTGGTTCTCGGAGATATATTATTGTCCTACATCTCTTTTTCCTGTGCAGATCAAAGGAACCAACCCCCACCCTCATTGACAGCCTGCCCATACAGCTTAACTGGTTGGCTAGTCAGAAAGGCTGACTCTTTTTCTCGTTCTGTGTCAATCTCCAACAATTCAGCCTGTGACAGGATGAGTCCTTTTAAGGGTCACTTAAGGGTCTCAATTGGATGTGGGTGGAACTTGGAACTTTTAATTCAGTTTCCAGTTTTTGAAGTCAAAACAAAGAATGTTTCTAATTTCACATCATCTAAATATTGTTCAGTGCTACATAAATGAAGAATTTGAAATATCAAACATTTAAATATACTTGTATAATAAGACCCTGAGGGAAATTATTATCTTAAGCTCTACTACACCCAATCTGGGCTTGTTGTTAATATGATTGATCTGTTAAGTAGAGGCAATTGCATTTTGGAGTAAAAGCATTACTTACCTTAAGAGTTAGTATAAAGAAAAATAGCTCTTTAACTCATGTTAAAATTACAAGAGAAGATTAATGAAATTTATTTTTATAAACAACCAATGACTAATTTAGAAAGAGAATTATGTTGTATATGATGTAATTTGAATTGGGGCAGTGCTTTCACTGCCTGTAGCCTTTTGGCAGGCTGCATTTATTTGAATCCAGTCGATCTTGGCTGAATCTACTTAAATTCCCAGGTTCAGTGTTTTTGGATGGGCTGAAGGTACATGGAAGAGAGCGTCAATGAATGTCGACTGGTCCTATTTATATGGGCAGTGGAACGTTAAGTGCTGCTGCTGCAGTCATAATCCTGCAAAACCAGCAGTGAGATTGAAGGCAGCCCCATCGTGAAGGCTTACTGCATTTCACATGAAAAGATTAAAATGTTTGCATTGTTACAAGGTGGTCTGTGGCCTTTTACCAGATTCATTAATTGAAGTGTGACCCCTAATGTCAATTTTCTTGGGCACTTGTCTGTTTTCTGCTATATGACAAGGGTAACCCCAGGCTATGACGTTGGAGGCACAGGGTTGCAATCCCCCATGTTATTTACGAGTGGTATCTGACTATTCCTGTGTGGGATGCACTTCGAAGGGTTAGCGTGGACTTCATGGGACAAATGGCATTCTTCCACACTATGGAGGGATCCTACAATTCTATTCCTGGGGATACTCCAGAAAATGCTTCCCAACACAAAAGACACCAAATGTAATACGCAAATTTTTTGTTTCCCTTTTTGTTCAGAGTGTGGTGCACACAAGACATTCAGTAAAGAAGATATTGCTTATGTAGGGAACTATATCAAAGCAAAGCAAAGTGAATGAACAGAAAAGTGGATAGAGATGAAATTTTCTGAAAAACAAACACATTCCACTGTCTCCTGAATTACTGATATAAATCCAGCACTGATCCCTGAGCTGATCTTGGCACTAGGCATGTGCTTTATCAAAATATTATAGTTAATGCATACATTAGGCCTATTTTTGTGACTGAATTAAAAAATAAGTTGCAGTGTTATAGATTATTTTTCACTAAATCAGCACTGAAACTAGTTAAGTCTATGGCCATGATAGGGGCCAAGCTGAATGAACTAATCTCTAGGAGACCTTGTGCTATCATTAAAGCCTTATAAAATGAAATGTACAAATTTTTGTCCACTTCACAGATACACCTTTCTAGTGCTCTTCCAGAACTGTTCTTGATCATTGAATTATGATCTCCTCCAACTTGACCTTTCCAGTGCCTTTGGCACAGCAATGAAAATCATATGAGGCACATCCATGGTTTTGCCCTCTCCTGTTACACATATGCATGGTCTAGCAGGGCTTTCTAAAGCTTATTTTAAGATTATCTTTCTCAATCTGAGTGAGGCACGTTTAATATAAAAAGTTACTAATCCACTAAACAGCACGATACTGCTTTATGATATATTTGTTAATAAGCAGATTAATTCTATTGTCTATTATTTCAAATTATTGACTGTTGTTACTTTTTTTAAGGTTCATTCAATTAACACTTCGAAGAACATCTCCAGAGGGTCTCCAGAGGTTGTATTCGATAAATTATTTAAAGTAAACTCCTACCCTAGTGGAAATTCCAGTTGCTTCCACTGAAATGGTTTCTGCTGGTCAACAGTTGCAATTATGTGTTCAGGCATGGTTAGCTGGCCAAGTGGGACATTTTTTGGAAATTGAATAGATATTTGGGGAGGAACCTAATTTTCTTATTAATTCAGATGTGTGCACATTTCCAAAAAAAAAGCTCAGTTTTTTAGGTGATTGTATATTTATAAATTCATCATTTGTAGTTCGTTCTTGATGTTAAGCAATATTTTGCATACAATGGTGTCTGATGGATAACTCGCTTTTTGGGCAACATGTCAATCCTGTAATACAATTTCTACATCGTAGTTGAGTGAACAGGTGGCTATTGGAATTTCCAGAAGGGTACGGCATGATTAACAAATTTTCTTTATAGAACCTTTCTAAGTTTGAGTATAATAAGAAAAATGTTGCTGCATATTATTTATATTATAACTTTTAACATATAACACATTGAACATGTTATAGCTAAAATTTTAAAGCTAAAATCTGATGGAAATTAAACAACATAAGTATTATATGTAAATCTTTACTCTTACTAATACAATGCTGAAGTAGTAAAAAATTTGATTGAAAATTCTTACCGCTGATGAAGTGCAGAGATCCTTGTAGGAACCAATAAGAAACCTGTTCACCTAGTTTGTGGCCAGTAAATAGTTTTCACTAACTCAAATGATAATGCTAAGGCAAGCCAACATTCCCTAAGTGATGTTAAAGATTTGTGAGCTTAAGGAACAGATTTAGAATTCTTAAAGCAGACTTTCACTTATACTTCCACCAAAACAAAGAAGGAAAAGACAGAACAAACTTGGAAAGAAGAACTTTTTCATTGGAACTGCCTATCATTGAATTTAATGCTTGATTTAATCAGCTATTCTCAGCAACAGATGGCTATAAACTAATCAAGCGATTGAGTTTGTTTCATCTAATGAACTGCCTATTCTACAGTCATGTGCCTAATCTGTTTAGTTATTAATTACGTTAACATTATAAAGATCTGGAGAATGGGCATCTCTTGCAATGATTTTGGTCATGTTTGGGCAACCAATTCATTTTCTGCCCACTCCACATTAACAATGAGTATAGAATTGCCTGTATGAATATTTAGAATGAAATTTTAGGTGCAACTTTGTGAAAAGGGTTCAGAAAAGATTTACAAGGATGATGCCAGGGTTGGAGGGTTTGACCTACAGGGAGAGGCTGAATAGTCAGGAGCTATTTTCCCTGGAGGGTTGGAGACTGAGGAATGACCTTTATAGATGTTTATAAAATCATGAGGGGCATGGATAGGGTGAACAGATGAGATTTTATCCCCCCGGGGTAGGTGAGTCCAAAACTAGAGGGCATAGGTTTAAGGTGAGAGGGGAAAGATTTGAAAGGGACCTGAGGTTCAACTGTTTCATGCAGAGGGTGGCGTGTGTATGGAATGAGCTGCCAGAGGAAGTGGTGGAGGCTGGTACGATTACAACATTTAAAGGGCTCCTGGGTGGGTACCTGAATAGGAAGGGTTTAGAGGGATATGGGCCAAATGCTGGCAAATGGGAATAGATTTATTTAGGAAATCTGATCAAAATGGACAAGTTGGTCTGAAGGGTCTGTTTCTGTGCTACACATATCTATGACTCTAATGGCGTGCCATTCCTGACAGTGGAACTGGAACTGTGCGCCAACTTCAATCTATTGCTTTTCCCTGATTTTCTATGCAAAAACAATTAAAATTTAAATGACAGCTGCATGCTGGAGTGTGCAAATATACGTGATTCAGTGCCAAAGGATATTTTTCAGTGATGAAATCCACAATAGCTGACAATGCTGCATCCAAAGGCAAAAGAGCCTCCAAATCAAACAGGGAGGCTCCTGGCCATAACATTTTTTTCCCAGCATCACTGCTATTAAAATAAGATCAACAGAGAGTGCAAATGTAGCTCAGATAATTTTCCAAATTTAAATGTCATTTGTGAATAATTCACATTATATTGGCTTTATTTTGTTCATGTGTGCGCTATCATTGATGAGACTGGCTTAGTTAGAATTTTAAATGTACTGGTATGACCCATGGATGGCATACATTTATGGTTATAGGCGAACTAGAGACATTTCCTTTTTGTCGAAGAAACATGGCTGTATTTTTTGTTTATTCTTTACTGAATATTGACATTAATGTCCAGTGAGTAATTGCTACTCTGTGGGACATCATTCATTTTGCAGGCCGAGCTATCTCCCCCTACCCCACCCCCCTCACCCCCCTTCTTTATATTGTCCAAGATCGCTCTCAATGGAGATAATTGAAATTGTGTAGGTGAACCCAAACCCTGTAAGGATTCAGTTGGTCAATGCACTGAGATAGGCACATGTTTGGACAGTACTGACACTACTCTTTAAGGATCCTCTTTCTCATTGTAGCTTGCCTCTAGTTTTCTTGCTGACTGTATCCGTCATTCCCCTCCTTCTCTCAGCCCCATCACACATTGGAAGCAAGGCTATTCCATCTTTCACTCCTCTATGCCCCACTCCATCTCCACTGACTTGCCCATGCTGGTCCCAAGCCTTCATTCCAGTTTCCATTCTCCTCGTCCTCTCCCTTGTGATAGAGTTCAACATAGAAGACCACTGAGCTTGGACACAACTGGTGCAGGCCATCTTTAAATAAAGTGAATAAAAACTAAAAGAACTGCAGATGCTGTAAATCAGGAACAAAAACAGAACTTGCTGGTAAAGCTCAACAGGTCTGGCAGCATCTGTGAAGAAAAAAATTCAGAGTTAACGTTTCGGGTCTGGTGACCCTTCCTCAGAATGTTCTGAGGAAGGGTCACCGGACCTGAAACACTAATTCTAATTTTTCTTCGCAGATGCTGCCAGACCTGCTGAGCTTTTCCAGCAAGTTCTGTTTTTAAACAAATTGAACTGGCTGTGATGAGATTCTGGTATGTTGTTGACTCTGACTTGGAAATAAGATGTTCCTTAAAAAATTGTTTTATGCTAGTGGCATGCAAATACATTACAAATATGAACTTGCCACAGGACATCAAGAGGATCTGACATGCTGCAAACACCCTGCTGACTTTACAAAAAAACCAAAAGAATTGCAGATACTAGAAATCAGAAACAAAAACAGAAATTGCTGGAAAGGACAGTTCTGAGGAAGGGTAACTGGACCCAAAATGTTAATTCTGCTTTGTCTCCGTGAGTGTTGCCAGAACTGCAGTGCTTTTCCAGCATTTTCTAGTTTTATTTGTGACACTGCCGACTTTGTCTCTGTGCCTCAACTCACCATCAAGAATTGAGATTTCACATTTTACCTAATTCAGCCACAGAACACACTGTTTTCCATTCTTGTAGGCTACAGTAAATCCCCCCATCCTGGTGTCTTTCACAGTTGTAAATAAAGTAAAGTTGCAGAAGTCTTATTAGGCTGCTGTCTCTTTTGAGGGTGATGACTGATGGTAGTTTAACCTGAGGGCCACCAGGCATCAGGCAAGGGGAGAAGTTGAGTCCTTCATTCTAACCTCAGCCAGTGTGGGTATTGAACCTATGCTGTTAGTATCACTCTGTATTACAAACCAGCTGTCCAGCCAATTGACTAAAATATCCACATGCAGTAGTTAGCTACAACATTGTAACAGTAGTTTATAGCACTGTAGAGAGTTGCTGATGTCTCCTAACTCTACTACTGAATTGTACATATATGCATTTTAAGAAATCACTATGGGCAACCCCAGGTTCCTTAGAAGTATTTTGAACAAAATAGTTCTTTTGTGAACAGGTGGTTATTGGAATTTCTACAAGGGTGCAGCATGTTTTTCAAATGGTCTGTGTGGAATCTTTCTCTTCTTGAGTTTGAATATACTATATCAATGTAATTGCCGAATATTGTATGCATTATAACCAACATACGTAATACATTTTATATTGTATACATTATCGTGAATTTTTAAAAAATCAAGACTATATTTCTTTTAGAAATCTTATTTTAGAATTTCTTCAGATAGCTTTAAAGCTGAGCAATTTTATTAAATGAGTAGTGGAGTTCTAAAGATAAGAAAGGTTCCAGATTAATGTTAATTCAGTGCTGAATTAATCCAGGCTATAGTTACGAATGGTAAAGATCTCCACAATGGTGTGGCATATACTTTCCAGGCCATACTACAAAGATCTGCTGCAGGAGGCTAAGGATTGCAACTTCGTTTTGAGGAGGACTATAGCCTTGTCCACTATGGCCCAAGTAGAAATGTGGGCAGCGTTATTGCCTCTGTTTGGGGTGAGTCAGACCCAGGCACAAGTCAGGAGTGTGATGAATACTCCTTCTTACCTGAATGGGTACAGCTCCAATAACACTCAAGAAGTGTGACACCTCCCAGGACAAAGCAGCCCACTTGACTGACACCACATCTGCAAACATTCACTTCCCCCACCATGTGTACCATTTACAGGATGCACTGCAGAAATTCACCAGGACTCCTCAGCCAGCACCTTCCAAATCCACAACCACCTCCATCTGGAAGGCAGCAGATCCAGCAGCTAATTTGTAAAGGGAAGGAGACAAAAAAACAGGTAACCAGAGATCACTGAGATGGCAAGAACTGCAGATGCTGGACTCAGAGATAACAAAGCGTGGAGCTGAAGGAACACAGCAGGCCAGGCAGCATCAGAGGAGCAGGAAAGCCTGATCTGAAACATCAACTTTCCTGTTCCTCTGATGCTGCCTGGCCTGCTTTGTTCCTCCAGATCCACACTTTAGTTAACTAGAGATCAATTAGCTTAATATGTGTTATTGGGAAAATGTTAGAGTTTATTATAAAGAATACAATAGCAGAGCATTTAAACTTACACAATATAATCAAACAGAGGCAGCATGGCTTCATGAAGGGAACATCATGTCTGACAAATGTACGAAAATTCTTCTAGAGCTTGCAAGCAGGATAGATAAAGGAGAAACAATGGATGTA